TGTGTGTGTGTGTGTGTTGATAAGCCTGAGTGATCTGTTGACTGATCTTTTTATTTGTTCAAATAATTGTTATGGGCAGGTTACAATATAAAGAATTGTTTGTCATAATCACGTCTTCTGATTATTTGACAGAAGTTTTACTTTTAAAGTGTAAGTGTATTTAATTTAGTTACGTCAATACAATAAAAATGAAACCAAGATATAGAATAATTATCATTTTAAACAAAGTTTTAGAGTAATTATCATTTTGATCCATACATTGGTAATGTCTGACTGGGCCTCGTCTCGCTTTATGTTCAATAAATTGGGCCCCGAGGTTAAAAAGGTTAAGAACCCCTGCTCTAAATAATTACAGTTTCCTTATAAAATTGATTTTATAAAGGCAAACAAAACCAGATGCTTTTAAATAAACTAACATTTAAAGATGACAATTTGTTAACACGTTTTCACTGCCATCTTATTAAACTGCTAAATATTTTACCAGCACCGAGTTCAGCACAGTCCAAAAACCATCCAGCATCTTACCAATATAAGTCCTGATATGAGGGAGGAGGTGCCTGTGAGAGCCACGTAGAACTTGGGCGTCAGGGTGTTTAGAAACATGCTTACTGCAGAGAAAAGAGAATAGAAAACATTAGTTCCCTCTGAATGTTTAGAACACTAAAGAAGCAAACTGCACAAGACATATTTGTAAAATCAAAAGCCTAATATCTGCTGAAAAATAGGTTATGTCTACAGAGAATACTGAAGAAAATACATCAAAGACTCTAAGATTCCAGGACATTTGTTATTCCAGCGCAGGAAACATTTCATGCAGAATCAGAGTTTGGCATTTCCCAGAGATCCTTGCTGCGCAGACGTGAAACTGCACAGTGCCAGGAGACCAGGGTTTAACTACTGACTGAGGATGTAGTGTGGCTCCAAAATTAGAGAGGGAATGAAGCTTAACAGGCAGTTGAAAGCCAGAGGCAATTTCACTTTGCAGGAAAAGACTTTCTCTAAATCGTCCAAGCTAGATGAAAAAAAAAAAAGGTGGGGGGTAGATGATGACAGGACATCGTGTAGATGCTGGAAGAAGAATAAATATGAGTGACGATCTGATATATCGACTGGCATCATTTCATTTTCAGCTTGACTCGTTAACAGGCGACAGCACAACAGAAACTCAGGAATCCAAAATGATTTTAGAGAAAGAGTCTGAGGCTGACAGTGTTTTTTATATATCAGGACATAAAATGATATAAACTGATTCAACACAAAAACACACAACGGATTGAGTCGTTATTTTTTAAACAACATTAAGCCAAAAAGAAAAAGCTGAGTAAAAACTGTCCGCTCCATGACTCAGCAGCTCGTAGAACTACATTTACCAACAATAACACTCAGGTTGTTCCCTGCCTGACTTTGTCACTCTTGGACATGGTTGTGGAGGAATTCTGGACCACTCGTTTTTACAACACTTCACTTCATTGAGGTTTGCAGACGTTTGGTTCTGCTCAGCTCTCTAAAGGTCCCACCACAGGGTTTCAGTCAGGCTGAGGTTCTGGACTGGGCAAGATTTTAAAACCTGAGAGACAGTGTGTGGTGTTCAGCCACACATCAGATACAACACACTGTAGGACCAACAGATTTCACTCAACAACAGGAGAGGAAATTTCTCGAGACTTCTTGAGATCAAACAAAAGTTCAGAGTAAATAAACATGGTAGATGAAGGAGAAAATATAGCAATAGTTTAATGATTATTTTCAACAGAGAAAAAACAAAAAGTCGCCTCAAACGTCCACCGGTCTTTCTGAATTCCATGGCTTTTTTTAAATTAATTTTTTTGGTCTTCTGTATTTTGGATGCCCCTCCATTTTTCTGTCAGCTCTCTTTCTGATTGGCTACACGTCACATTGGACAGGCTGCCAGCTTGTTTGTCCTCAGGGGACACCACGCACTGGGATATCAGGTCAAGACAATCCGACATGTTGAATATCCCTGAATGGAGATTGTAGCGGTCCAAACGTCCTGAGCACACAGGAACATCTCATAAGGTTATCTTTAGAGACATCACTTTAATCGGAGCCTCATTAAGATTGTCGGAAAGAAAAAAATCTGGTCAAAAATCAGCACAATCATCCCATGAACTCGGCATTAGACTGAACCTTTACATGGATTATTTTCCTATTGATACAGTCTATTGTAGATCTGCTGCTGTGTTTGGGATTGCTGTCCTGTTTAAGGATACACGATATATCGGCATTAATATCAGTATCAGCTGATATTGGTCATTTTTTTAGAATATTGTCCGATATGTAGAACTGGGCCGATATTAACGTCCGATATTGATTTCCCACTTTTTATCTTTCTGTTTCTGTTTTGGAGGGGAGATGGTTGGTTGAGTAACATCTGTTTGATCATGATAGTGATGCTGTGCAGCCAGGAATAACTGAAGTAGAGCCATGTCAGAGGTCTGGTTCTTTATTTACAGTATCAAAAAAAAAAAGACCCAAGGGTGTTTGTGCATATATGTATAATATAATTTGTGTGTTTGTGTAATATTGATAAATATCGGTTATCGGCCATAATAGGTCTGTGTATTGGCAAGAATTTGGCGCTACGATACAAATCATAACAGAGGGGTCACGATACTATATATACCGATATATTACGATACTATAAGCAAGGCGATATATCGCGATATATTGCGATTTTTTTGTCCAAAAATTCTATTAAATAAAAACCTCTTACAGGGGAAAAAAATGAAAAACCAAAATGTCTCAGAAAATTCTAATATTACATAGACATGCTTTTGATACATTTAGCTGTGTTCTGCTTTGTATGTGTTTTATTTTATTTGTTTCATGTTTCTTATTTCATCCATGTTTTCTATTATTAGAATAAATTTGCCAATAAATAATGAAAATATATTTTTGCAGCTTTTAGTTTTTAATATTAATTTACAATATGGTCACCCAACACTTAATAATGGCCTTTACCTCAAGAGGTAGAGGAGCCAAATGGCTGGCTCACTGCTGCCAACTAGTGGTCAAAGGCTGAACTACAACATAAAAATGAACAGCTGGCAGGAAAGTTGACATTTTAAACCTTAATAAAAAAAATTGATACAGGGCTTTAGAATATCGATACAGTATTGGAAAATGAAATATTGCGATATTTCAATGTATCGATATTTTCTTACACCCCTAGGCCATAACAGCAATAATTATATCAGATATCGAATCGGCTGAAATTTTCATATCATGCATCCCTAGTCCTGTTGAATCCAGTTTGGCCCAAACCCTAGCTCTCAGACAAATAGACTCACATCTGACTCTAGAACCCTTCAGTCTACAGAGGAGATCATGATCTACTTAGTGACTGCAAGGAGCCCAAACCATCAGCACTCCACCACCGTGCTGACAGCTCGGAGGAGCAGTTTGTGCTGATCTGTTGTGTTCTTTTCACCAAACAATGGTGCTGTGCATTATGGGTAAACATCGCTACTGTGTTCAACACACATTATTCCAGATGTCTTGTGTTTATTAGAGAGAAGAGACAGTCTCCAGGTAATGCTTCCTCTGAGCATTGCATGGTTGGACATTAGTTGATATTTGCAGGGGTGTCCAATCCTGGTTAGACTGAAGCTGTTTAAATGTTTTTAACTTAGACATAATCTTTTTAATGGTAGATTGTTGGAATCCAAACAGTTTGGAAATGACTTTTTAACCGTTCTCAGGTCGATGAGCAGCAACAGCTGCTTCTGTGAGGTATGTTGATGTTTCTCCACCTTGGTGTTGTGTTAACACACCTGTTTGCTCCAGAGCAGTGAACTGACTAAACTCCTGCTACAGAGGTGATCACAGTGAATTGATACAATTGTTCAGCAGCTCCTCACTGGTATGTTTTCATTGAACTTTTTCAAACACAGCTTTTGTTTTGTGGTAAACTTAATTAAACCTTGTCATTGTGGAATCTGTTGTGTGTTTTAGTACATTTTAAAATAATTTAAGAAGCTGGTAAGAACCAGGTTTTTCTATATTATTATTAAAGCCTAATATATAAAAGAGACAGACTTTCTTTTCCCATAACTGCTCAATATGCAGCTCAGCGACATAAAAACTCTTCTTTCAGATGCTACTTTAAAAGGCAACTTCTTTTAATTGAATTGTCTCCTGCAAGATATAAAATAATTTTATGGACTACTAGCTTCCATTATCAAAATGCATTTTGCCATGTGTGCAACTTATTCAACTGAAGTCTATATGATTCATCGGTGTGTGTGTGTGTGTGTGTGTGTGTGTGTGTGTGTGTGTGTGTGTGTGTGTGTGTGTGTGTGTGTGTGTGTGTGTGTGAGTGAGTAACCATAATCCTGTATGACTGCACTGTATCTGAGCTCCTCATTAAAATGGGTATGAAACCTGCATTTCCCACATGCTCCACATAACTATGTGCATCAGACATTAAAAATAAACATTTGAAAGAATAATTTTCCAGTGATGGATCACTGTCTAACATTTTTATTTATTTTTTTTACAACAGAACCTTTAGAAAAACCAACAAAAACAGCAAAAGAAATTATGCTGTCAGCAGGTGATACAAATAAGAGCTAACAGAGCTGTGACTCCGCAAAACACTGATTTCAATGTTTAGAATATAGTTTCTGATCTGAGCTGACAGGAGTGATATCCAGAGAGATCTTCTGCTGCTGGAACTCATCTGACCCAGGTTGGGTTTATTAAGTGTTCAGGGATGGTTTCTGTAGACCTTCATGATGCTACTGCTGCCTTTCTGTCATCTCAAACAAGTCTGAACATCTGACATTAGGGTTAGGAAAAACTTGTATCCTGTGCAATTAATTGCCAAAAACAATTAATAATTGCTAGTTTGCAATTACTTTAATTAGTGCCATGTGATGATGTATTGATACATTATCACCATCAAGTGAGGAGGCATACTGCGTTACTAAAGATCTGCTGCCACTCTACATTACGGAAAAGACAGGTTTCGATTTACAGTTTACTGTTTTAACCTGTTAAAAGGAAGAACTTACTTTGACTGATGATTTGTAAATATAATTTTACAATACAAGATGACTGAGTTAGAGTTAAAATATGTATCTAATATTCATCATATTCACCGTTACCAGCAAAATGCCACAAGAAATCATGATTACATTTGTTATCAATATCACCAAACCCTATTATAATGTTAATTAATTAATTAATTTATGTCTGAATAAATCCCATCTATAGATATTTTCACTTGTTTGGACCATTTTCTTTAAACCCTAGAGAAGGTTGTGTGTTAAAAACAAAACAAAAGAAAAGAAAAGAAAAAGAAAACCAGTAGATCAGCAGGTTTGGAAACAGACCAGCCTGTCTGACACAAACAACCAGACCACACTCAGACACTGAAATCCAGGTTTTTCCCCATCCTGATGCTCGGTTTGAACTGCAGGAGATTGTCTTGACCATGTCTACTTCTAAAGGCTTCAAGTCACTGTCATGTGATTATAGGTATTAATATTAAAAAGCAACTGAACAAGTTGTAGAAGAAAAAAAAGATTAATTCATTAAAAAAAGTATTGAAATGTTATTTCCCAATCTACTCTATATGTTGTCT